AGGTTAGGCACTTGGGCCAGGATGACTAGAATAGCTGGATGCTGGTTGGGTACCTCTTTCTCCACAGAACCTTTCCATGTAGCTAGCTTGGGCTTCCTCATGGCATGGTGGCCTCAGGGTAGTTGGACTTCTTATATGGTGCTCAGGGCTCCAAGAGTGAGCCTTCCAAGAGACAAGAAGTAGAAGCTTCCAGTCTGTAAAAGCCTGGGCACAGAAACTGGCACAGTTACTTCCAATCTATTCTATTGATCAGAGCACTCAAAAAACCTACCCAGATTGAAGGGGAGGGAACAGAGACTCTTCATGGGAGAAGTGACAAAGAGTAAGCGGTCATCTTTAATCTGCCAAGTGATGGCAGAATGAATGAAGAATCTCCATTATGCTAGAGGAGAGACTGCACTGGGAGGTTGTTGTTGTTGTTAGGTGCGGTTGGTTCCAACTCATAGTGACCCTACAGGACAGAGTAGAACTGCTCCAAAGGGTTTCCAAGGAGCGGCTGGTGGATTTGAACTGCCAACATTTTGGTTAGCATCCAAGCTCTTAACCACTAGACCACCAGGGCTCCACTGTGATGAGTCACCTGCAATTTCTGTCCTTGTTCGGAGTTCTGTCTCTATGAAAGTGTGACTGTCTTAGCTTAGAGTGTGATTGCCTTGACCAGGGGCAGGCAGGACACTTTGAAAACAGTCTCATCAAGTCTATAAGCAGTAGGGGAGGGGTAGTTCCCCAAAAGAGAATCAAGGTGTTCTCACCACAAAAAGGGCAAAACAACGATGTCTACTTGTTTCATATCTGTTTTTGCCAATTGCGAGAATCTTCACATTAACCCACACCCCTCCCCTCACCCCCTACACACCAAAAACTTATTCTCTGTGACCTTCATTCTATTCAAATAACAAGTTATTTACTTGCAGCAGTGCTAGGTTAGGCTCTGTGGAGGGATAAAAGATGAATCAGACATGGCCTGGCCCACGGGCTGTTCACACTCTAGTAGGGGGAGGAAGACACAGAGAAATAGCAGTAACACCAGAGAGAAAGGGGGAAGCGCCATAAAGGGCAAGAGAAAGTGTTCTGGAAATTGGGAGGAGAAAGATTACTTCCAGCTGCACCCTTAATCACATACTGCCTGACAACATCTTTTGTATTGTTGTCTTGTCTGGTTATTAACTCCTGTATTGTTGAACAAGAGCAAACCAGTCACACTGAATAATTCATAATGCTGCTCCTTCCCCTGCAGCAAGATCACTAGCTTCTCTGACAGGGATTGAGACCTCCAATAGGCATGTGTAGGGGCTAATATCTACAGACTTTACAATACCTGCTTCAAGAGAAGAGAACATCAATAAAATGTTATCTAAATAAAGCCTTAACAATATGGCCCTTTATTACCTTACTAATATTTCTTCAATGTATTAAAATAAAAAATTTACAGTAATAAGATTGTTTTTCTGTAATTTCAACTACTGTTATTTTTTTTCTGGAAATAGGAAAATGTCTTTCTACTCCAATTACTGACATCCCATGAACCCATTTAGTCCCTCTGTGGGAGAAAGACCTGGCAATCTGCTTTCTGTAAAGATTACAGCCTAGAAAACCCTATGCGGCAGTTCTACTGTCACCTGGTGTCACTCTGAATAGGAACCGACTCAATGGCACCTAACAACAACAGTAGTTGGGTGTATTCTTTCACCTTTGCTATGGAGAAGGTCAAATAAAGGTAACTGACTGTAACACTAAAACACACTTTGGGGATGGTTCCGGGAAGACCCTTTCCATGTAGTAATCTCAGATACCCTCATGGAACTTTCTTTTGCATGTGCACCATCAGAGTATTGCTTTTTGGTATCATTTCCAAGTTTTTCTGAAAAACGTACTGTTTTCTTTTTGTTTCTTATTTTGAAATGACAGGTGGTTAGGAAATTCTTCTTCACTGTTGTAATTATTTTCCCTCAGTTTTTCTCCATTAAACAGCAATTACCCTCATGCATAATCTTTCTAAGTAGTTATTTGCTAGCTCCTAAAGAAAACAATCACATCGAGTACATTCATCCCATACACTCCATGGTTTTTCTCAACATGAAACTTCTACTGCATATCATTTGTACCACAGTAACTAACATAGACACTTAAACATTCTTGGTAGTTCATTTTTTTAAGGAGATCAAATTTTTGGATGAAACATTCATCTATTTTACAAAGGGTAGTTTTCCTGGACTTCATCCAAAAGTACCTTCAAAGAGAAATGAGAAGTGTGACTATTGTATTTCAAATATTTTCCAAGGGAAAGGCAGAGTGAAAATATCTTTTTTCTTCTGGCTTATACCTTACACTTACAGCGAACTACGCAGCTTACAAAACAGGCAAATTATCTGGTTTGTGGAGAAGTAAAACCCTTTCTAAATTTGTTTCTTAATGCTAGCAATATCGAAAAACAATTTAATATTCATTATACAAAAAATCTTAATTTAACAAATAAACATATAAATCGAGTCATAGCAAAGTGGCAGAAAAATAGAAAGAAACATATCATTAGAGAAATTATAACTAAGCTTGGAAGCAAGAAATGAAATGTCAAAGGACAAAAACAAGATACTTAATGATCTGTAAATTGTTACACTAAAGATGATTTTGACAGGCAACATTATTTTACCAAAGGTCATTCATGATTAATTTAGAAGAAATTATTCTTGGCCTTTGACATGCAGTATGACGGACATTTCGCAAGCACTTCCAAAAGTCAACAACATAGAGAAATGTGTCATTTTGTTGAGTAAAAATTTGAATAGCGCCAAGAGTGTGGTATGCAAGACATAGCTCCTTACTAGAAAGTGCCCTAGCTAATCCCCCACACCTGAATTTCAGCATGGCCTTGTCCTCCTCACCTGCTTATTACACATTGACTCTCCAAAAGTCCACTGTATGAAGGAAAGTATGTACTACAATGGTTTTTCTCAAACATTCAAGAACATCTCACCTAGGATGTGTTTCTAGACAATGACATCATTGCTAGAAAATACCATAGAATAGAAATAAAAGAATGATGAATGGTAAACTATTGAATTTCTGGAGATAGTCCCTGTCTTAATTTTCTAGCACTGCCATAGCAAAATACCACAAAGTGGGTGACTTTAAAGAACAGAAATTTATTGTCTCATAGTTCTGAACTCAGGGTATCTAAGGGGCCTTAGAAGTGAGGATGGTGAGACATCATCTCACATACTTCGGACATGTTATCAGGAGGGACCAGTCCCTGGAGGACATCATGCTTGGTAAGGTAGAGGGTCATTGAAAAACAGGAAGACCCTCAATGAGGTGGATTGACAGAGTGGCTGCAACAACGGGCTCAAGCATAACAAGAATTGTGAGGATGGCGCAGGACTGGGCAGTGTTTCGTTCTGTTGTACACAGGGTCGCTATGACTCGATGGTACCTAACAACATGGGGCCACCATGCTCTCTGCAAAGGCTCCAGGAAAGATCTTTCCTTGTCACTTCCAACCTCTGGTTGCCTCAGGCGTCTCTTGCTGTTCCTTGTCTTGTAGATATATCTTCACTTGGTATCCTCCCCCATGTGACCCTCTTCCTGTCTGTTCCCCACTTCTATAAGACACCACTAAGAAGAGATTAAGATTCACCCAACTCCAGTGTAACTTTATTAACTGATAACATCTTCAAAACCAAAACCAAACTCACTGCCCTTGAGCTGATTCTGACTCATAGTGACCCTGTAAGACAGAGTAGAACTGCCCCATACGGTTTTCAAGGCTGTAAATTTTTGGAAGCAGACTGCCACATCTTTCTCCCTCAGAGTGGCTGATGGGTTTGAACCACCAACCTTTCAAGTTAGCAGCCAAGTGCTTTAACCACTGTGCCACCAGGGCTCCTCACATCTTCAAAGAAAGACCTTATCTCCAAACAAGGTCACATTCACAGGCACAGGGGTTAGGACTTCAACATATCTTTCTGGGGGACCCAATCCAATCCATAATATTCTCCAAGTCAGAATTCTCTCTAATTGGTTTTGGGAGAATCACATCTTTGAATATGAATGACAGTATTTAAAGGAGTCAATGCCACTGTCAATAAATAAAGAGACAGAATGAAACAAACAAGAGGCAGAAGACCCTATCACAGAGTCACACAGAGCAACAATTACAAGCCAGTTAATGTGAATTCCTGACAGTGTACCCTCCTTTATCAAAGTTTCTCTCCAGGCAGTATCAGCAACTTGCCAAGGGGGAAAATGTACCTCAGGAATAATGGCAGTGGTTCCCAGTCTCTCCTGCATTCCTGCAGGCTGTCACATCTTCTTCCTGTTTCCAAGCCTGTCACACCTACATCAGCTCTGTCTGGACTGTTGCAGGGACCTCCAGCTCGTCTCCCTGGTTCCGATCTGTTCCATGCCAACTGGTGAAACACCTTCCCCAGAGGTTGCTGTCTAAAATGCAGGTGTGATCATGCCACTTCAAACTTTAAAATTCTTCCAGGATTGGCCCACTGTTTTCAAGGGATTGTTCCCAAATCTGAGGCATGGGGATTCCCAATTCACAAAGCCCCTCATGATCTGGTCTTCGCCTCTTAAGCCTCATTTCCCACCTGTCTTTACCTCACACCCTTGTCTCTGCTAACAGCAGTTCTGTGCGGTTCCCTAATGGAGGAGCCATGCTATTTTCTATCTCCATATGTTTGTTGTTCCTGATGAGTGCTCCCCTCCCTGACACAAACAAATCTTGACTACTGAGGCAAAATCCTTTTCTGTCAGGAAGAAAAATTACCTTGAAGGGATTACCTTTGGGAAGCCTTCTCTCACCATTTCCCAGAGCCCACCTGTCACTTTCAAACAGAATTGAGTTCTCCCTTCTCTGGATGATTAATTTATCCTGTGTGCAGGGTCGATCACATGGGTTTTGGATTTTTGTTATCTGCCTCCCCTACCACACCATAAGCTCCTTAAGGTCATCTTATTTAATTTTTAAGCTTTGATGCCTACCACAGGGACTGTTAAATATTTCCTGAAGGAAGACAGGGAATGAGGAAGAAAGTTTGGTTAGTGGGCTGAAGGACCTGCAGGTTGGAGAGTTTGCCAAAGTCCAAGAACTTCAGCATTTCCTCAGTGTCAGAATCTACTTCAACGATCTTATCCAGGGCTGAATCCTTAGGAACATAATTATTTCTCCTTTCTCTCTTCTCTTCCTGCAGATACCTCTCTGGGGGCCTTTGAATCCACTTCATCAGACATCTGACATAGCCTGCTATCTTGTTAAAGAGCATCTTGCTGGGAATAATGGTGATCTCCTCACAAACGTGCTTGTTTGTGTGGGCGCCGTTGCCCAGGTGCATGTCCTGGCTTCTCAGTGATGGCTCGGGCTGCCTTCTTGATGGTTTTGACATGAATGTTGCTCATGTTGGTGGGTCCCTGGTAAAAAAGCCTGAGTCTTTTAAAAAAAAAAAAAAAAAAAAATTTATGCCAGTCAACATCTCTGTTGACCCTAATATTGTGACTGCTCTGTCTGCTGTAGGAGTAGGGAAATCACTTTCGTGGAACGTGCACTGTTTGGTGGTGGTATTTAGAGTTCACAACCCTGAGAAGGTTCCTCTTACTTACCTGAGGGGAAGGACTGTGGGTTCGTGATATTAGTGTGTAAGGCTACCCCTGGCATCTCTAGATAACTATGTGAGATAATCCTGGGAAAAGTAGAGCAAGAGTGAAGTGGAAATGTTTGGATTGCATTTTGTAAATATCAAGACTCATGGGAACAAATGCAAAATTTTGGAATCTATTACAGCCTGTGAATGCAAATATGATGCTGTCATTAGTGGTACCATCTGAAAAATAAAATTCCTTCACACTGAGTGTATTTTCTGGTCTGTGACTGACTGTGACAGCCATTAATGCTATCATTGTTCTGCAGCCTTTGTGTTAAAAATTCATGATAATCATGATGATAGGAGCATGGAATTCAAACTCCTTTTCCTGACTTTAAAAGCCTTACATAACGTGACCTAAGCAACATTTTAAGCTTGATCTCCCACCTATCCAAAGCTTCATTCCAGGAAAACTAGTTACTCAACGTTCCCTCCCCAGCTCCATGCTTTGCTAGTGCCACTCTATCAGCAATGCCCTTCTTACAATGCTATCTGCCAAACAATGATCATCTCAAATGCCACCTCCATGACACTTCTCTCCCCTGAACTCCTCTCTACTCTGTTGAAGGTTCTTTGAAGGCAGAAGCTACATCTTATACAATATGAATGACAGAGACCTCTAGCTGTTCACTACAATTTCGTGTTCCCCCTTCCCTAAAGTGAAGCTGGTGCAGGAGGTGGCTGCCCAGCCAGGGACTATTTTGCCAATACCTTGCATGCAGGTGTGGCCACATGGCTTGTTCTTAAACAACTGAATCTAAGTAGAAGCAATGGATGTCGCTTCTAGGCTGGGGATCTTAAGAAGTGTGCAAGCCTTCCTCATCTATTACCTCTTTGCCAGCTTGAAGTATGGCAGAAACTTATAAAAGAAGCCTGAGTTCCTGTATCACCATGTGAAAGAGCATCACCTGCTGACCCAGAACAACATCACTCAGCTGTTATGTGAGCTTGAAATAAACTTCCATTGGGTTAAGCCACTGAAAGTTGTTTAAATTTTTTTTATGGAGCTAGCCATTTCCCAAGGGGCCCTGGTGGTGCAGACAGTTAAGCATTTGGCTACTAACCAAAAGGTTGGCGGTTCAAACCCACCGAGTAGCTCTGTGGGAAAAAGACCTGGCCATCTGCTCCTGTAAAGATTACAGCCTAGACAAACCTATGGGACAGCTGTACTCTATCATACTCTATCGCTATGAGTCAAAACTGACTCGAAGGCATCTAACAACAGCCATTTCCCTGTCTAATACAACTTGGTATCCTTTATGTACCTGGCTCATTCCATTGCATATAGCAAGTACTCAAAAAGTATTTGTTGATTTTTCAGAAAGAAAATCTAAACTGGGTTACACTGTTAGAACATAGTTTGAGATATCTGATGACACCAAAATACTCTCCCAGTCCTATTTTCAGAGATAATTATTGAAACCACCCCCCCCAAATAATTTATTTTTACAGAATAAATACTTAAAATTGTCATTTTGTTCTTGGCAAATAGAAAATAAGATGTTATGAGAACTGGCAGTCATTCTGGTTGAATAAGGGTGCCAAGTTTTATTCTGGCTATATGAGCCAGATGGCACAACTGTAAACAAATAATGGCAAGATGAAATATATTCCTCTCTGCTTGTCAGATTTTCAAATGAGGCATAATTACTAGCTAGGAGCCTTTGGCCATTAGCATTTTCATTCACGTTCCAATTAGACTTTCATTGTGAAGTGATGATGTTATTATTGATGGAATTATTTCTTAGATTGAGCTAGGTCCTACAAAAGAGAGATGTCCACTAGCCCTAAGCCTCAAAACGTCACCAAGCTGAAGGACGAGACAGCACACAATACTGGGGAAGCCAGCACAACTTGTACAAGGAAAGGTCATGGAAGCTCCACAGACACATCCAAACTCCCTGAGGGACTGAACTGCTGGGCAGAGGGCTGTGGGGGCCATGGTCTCCGGGAACATCCAGCTCAATTGGGATAACACAGTTTATAAAGACAATGTTCTACATTCTACCTTGGTGAGTAGTGTCTGGGGTCTTAAAAGCCTGTGAGCAGCCATCTAAGATACTCCACTGATCTCAGCCCTTCGGGAACAAGGGAGAATGAAGAGAACAGGATACAAGGAAAAGATTAGTCCAAAGGACTAATGGACCACAGCTACCAAGGCCTCCACCAGACTGAGTC